AAATAGGAAATTCAGCGACACGCCGAAAGGATCGGTGATAGTGATTAAGCTCGCCAAAAGTTCCAGGATAATTTAATGAAGGAACCAAACCAAAAGGCGAGGATAGGAGAAACTAGGTGGATCACCGAACTGGTCGGCGATAGCGACTTTCTTCACCGAGTTGACTCCGTGCTGAAATTTTTGAAACGTATAAATACAATTTTTGAAAGAGGAGAAAGGGTTCCAACACTGTTTACTTCTGGGTTGTTGAGAATTTTTACATTCTAGAACATTGTGTTTACATTTTGAGCAGAGTTTGAGATTTAGATTCAGAGATTGTAAAATTTTAGATTTGATTTCAACATTTAGAGATTGCATATCATTAGCAAATCAGATGGAAAACTTTGTTGGTAACAATTTCTTTCTTTTCACTATGCTTAACTAAAACCCCTTACCTTAGGGGTGTGATTATGTAGTTGAATGCTTTAATTAGATAATGAGTGTTGTTAGTTGCTTATTGTAATGTTGTTTTGAAATGGGTTCAATTAATTGTTCATGTTATAATTGAGGAATTGCAGTTGAAAATGCAATTCTAGCTTAGTTCACTATGATTGCTTGAGAAAGATGTGTAATAGAGTAGAATTATATATTGATAGTTGTATTGATTGCGTCTTTAAAATCAAGCTTGTGAAATTGAGTTTGATTGCGTCTTTACAAATCCACCTTGAAAGAGTGGATTAATTAAAGAATTGGGTTGTTTGGTTGTGTTATTCTTGTTGATGTTTGAGAGAACTCACTTGAAGCGCAATAGTTGATTGAGAAATGGCTATTGTACTCATAACCTAGCCTAGCCATTGAGATTCAACAACTTTGAGCAACTAGTAATCACCCATTACGCGAAATTAGCATTCAATTGATCACACTCCTAAGGTACAATCTCTAATTGGTTACCCCAATCCCCCCATTTGATATTAATTGTAGAACTCTGTGATTTATTTTAATGTTGTGAAACCTTTACTTCTACAAACGATTAGGACATATTTTCATTTCTTAATTAAATTCTTTACCGTATCACTCCCTGTAGGATCAACCCCATCTCTTAGCCTGGTTTATACTTATTAGCTACCACTTACACTTAGAATTGGATGAAGTGTAGTGTAGCGTTATCAGGGTGCTCCAGTCTTGTTCACGAGGAAAAAAGATAGTTCCCTTAGAATGTGTACGATTACTGCCAAGTGAACAAGGTCACAATAAAGAATAAGTATCCTCTTCTGAGAATTGATGACCTTTTCGACCAACTTCTGGGTGCCACTTGCTTCTCTAAGGTAGATCTCAGATCTGGCTATCATAAGTTGAGAATAAGATAAAATCACATCTCGAAAATAACATTCACGACCCGTTATGGTCAATATGAGTTCCTTGTGATGTCTTTTGGCTTGACCAATGCTCCTGCAACATTCATGGACCTTATGAAAAGAGTTTTTAAGATGTATCTTGACATGTTCGTTATCATTTTTTTTTATGACATACTAAAATATTTGAGGTATGAGGAGGATCATGCTAGTTATCTCATAATAGTCCTCCAGACACTTAAAGATCAAAAATTGAATGCCAAATTTTCCAAGTGTAAGTTTTGGCTAGAGTTCGTGGCATTTTTGGGCCACATTGTATCTGGTGAAGGGATTTGAGTTGACACTACAAAGATTGAAGCAGTGCAGAACTGGCCTATACCCACCTCTCCAACTGATACAATCAGTTTCTTGGGGTTAGTGGAGAAGGTTCGTCGAGGGATTTTCATCTATTTTGTCCCTATTGACTAAATTGACTCAGAAAATGGCTTAGTTTAAATGGTCTGAAGCTTGTGAGAAAAACTCTCAGGAATTGAAGACTCGATTGACTACTGCTCTAGTGTTGGCCCTACTAGATAGTACAAACGACTTTATTGTTTATTGTGATGCATCTGAAATTGGACTCAGGGAAGTATGGTTCAATGGGCTACTTGGAACCCCACTTGTACTAAGTGTGGTAGGAACCACCCAAGAGCGAGTCATGATGGCTCCAATGGCTACTGAAAGTGTGGTCAGACATGTCAATTCATGAGAGAGTGTGCTAAGAACAGGTAGGGTAATGGGGGAAAGAGAGCCCAATCTTCTTCAGCGGCTCCAACAAGTAGATTTTCTCCGAGAGGAGATACTTTAGGGACAGGCAGAGGAGAAAATCGTTTGTATGCTATAACTAGTCGTCAGGATCATGAGAACTCACCAGATGTTGTCACTGGTATGCTTAAAGTCTTTATTTTTTATGTTTATGCCTTAATTGATCCAGGTGCGAGACTGTCTTTTGTGACTCCTTATGTAGTAATGAAGTTTGATATTGTCCCCGAACAACTTCTTGAGCCCTTTAGTGTTTCCATACTTGTTGGTTAGTCTATTTTAGTGGAAAGAGTTTATGGTGATTGTATAATCTCTGTCAATCACAAGGACACCATGGATGACGTAGTTGAGCTAGACATGATGGACTTTGATGCTATTCTAGCTATGAACTGGCTTTATGCTTGTTATACCTCAATTGATTGTAGAAGTCGAGTAGTCATCTTTCAGCTTCCTAATGAGCTAGTATTAGAGTGGAGGAGTGGTTCAACTGTGCGTAAGGGTCATTTTATCTCATACCTTAAGGCTAGAAAGTTAGTTTCCAAGGTGTGCCTCTATCACTTAGTCCGGGTTAATGACTCGAGTGTTGAGACATCGCTTATTAAGTTATTGCCAGTCATGAGTGAGTTTCCAAAAGTCTTTCCTGATGATCTTCCCGGAGTCCCTCTTGAGAGAGAGTTAGACTTCAGTATAGACAGTCTTCCTAATACTCAACCTATCTCTGTTCCTCCATATAGAATGGCTATAACTGAGTTAAAAAAGTTGAAAGAGCAGTTGAGAGATCTTTTTTATGGGGGTTACTTCCGACCTAGTGTCTCACCTTGGGGAGCTAGGAAGAAGGATGGCTCCCTTAGAATATGTATCGATTACTGCCAATTGAAAAAGGTCACCATAAGAATAAGTATCCTCTTACGAGAATTGATGACCTTTGCGACCAACTTAAGGTGCCACTTGTTTCTCTAAGATAAACCTCTGATCTAGCTATCATCAATTGAGAGTAAGAGAAAGTGAAATCCCGAAAACAACAGTCACGACCCGTTATGGTCATTATGAGTTCCTTGTGATGTCGTTTTGCTTGATCAATGCTCATGCAACATTCATGGACCTTATGAACAGAGTGTTAAAGCCGTATCTTGCCATGTTCATTATCATTTTTATTGATGACATACTAATTTATTTGAAGAATGAAGAGGATCATGCTAGTCATCTCAGCATAGTCCTCCAGACTCTCAAAGATCGAGAATCGTATGCCAAATTTTATAAGTGTGAGTTTTGGCTTGAGTCATGGCATTATTAAGCCATATTGTATTTGGTGAAGGGATTCGAGTTGACACTCAAAAGATTGAAGCAGTGCAGAACCGACTCAAACCCACCTCTCCTATTGATATAAGGAGTTTCTTGGGTTGGCTGGTTACTACTGAAAGTTCGTCGAAGGTTTTTCACCTAATTCATCCCCATTGACTAAATTAGCTCAGAAAACAGCTCAATTTCAATGATCTGAAGCTTGTGAGAAAACCTTTCAGTAATTAAAGACTCGGTTGATTACTACTCCAATGTTGACCCTATCAGAGGGTACAAAAGGCTTTGTTGTTTATTGTGATGTGTCTAGAGTTGGACTTGGTTATGTATTGATACAACATGGTAAGGTTTAGTCTATGCTTCTAGAAAACTTAAGATTTACGAGAAGAATTACCCTACTCATGATCTTGAGTTGGCAGCAGTAGTGTTTGCTGTCAAAATATGACGTCACTATCTCTATTGTGTAAATGTGGATGTGTTCACTGAACACAAGAGCCTCCAATATGTTTTCAGTCAGAAGAAGATTAATCTCAAGCAAAACAACTGATTAGATTTGCTCAATGACTACGACATGAGCATACAATATCACCCAAGTAAGGCTAATGTTGTTGATGTGTTGAGCAGGTTATCCATGGAGAGTACTGCTCATGTTGAGGAAGGTAAGAAAGAGTTAGCTAAGGAAGTTCATAGACTTGCCCATTTGGGAGTGCATATGTTAGATTCCAGTGAAGGTTGAGTTGTGGTGATTAATGGGCCTGAATAATCACTAGTGTTTGAAGTGAAGGAGAAACAAGATAAAGACGCTCTTTTACTTGAACTAAAGGTGAATGTTCATAAGCAAAATGTAATGGCTTTTAAACAGGGGGAGATGGTGTGTTAAGGTATCACGGTAGATTGTGTGTACAAAAGGAAGATGATCTCCAAGAGAGAATCATGGAAGAAGCTCATAGTTCCAAATACTCGATCCATTCTGGTTCCACAAATATGTACCATGACTTGAGAGAAGTCTATTGGTGGAGTAGTACGAAAAGGTGTATTGCAGAGTTCGTTGCTAAATTCCCAAATTGCCAACAAGTCAAGGTAGAGCTCCAAAGGCCCGGTGGTGTGGCTCAGAACATAGCCCTTCCAAAATGGAAGTGGTAGATGATTAATAAGTAGTTCATTACTGGCTTGTCACGATCTCGTAGTCAACATGATTCTATCTGGGTGATTGTAGATCGAATGAATAAATCAGCCCATTTCTTGCCGGGGAAGACTACAAATTCACCAGAAGATTATGACAGGTTATACATTTAAGAGATAGTCCGACTTCACGGAGTTCCTTTGTCGATCATCACAGATATGGGTGCATAATTCACCGCTCAGTTTTGGAAGGCTTTTCCAGAAAGGTCTGGGTTCGAAGGTGAACCTTGGTACTTCTTTTCATCCTCATAATGATGGCCAAGAAGAGCGCACAATTCATACCCTAGAGGACATGGAGAGGGCATGCATATAGATTTCAAAGGTAAATGGGATGCCCACTTGCCTATCAAAGAGTTTGCATATAATAATAGTTATCACTCTAATATTCAAATGGCTCCCTATGAGGCTCTTTATGGGCGAAGGTGTAGATCGCCTATTGGTTGGTTTGATATTGGTGAAGCTGAATTGATTGGGCCAAACTTTGTTCATCAAGCCATGGAGAAAGTGAAGATTATTCTGGAAAGGCTAAAAACAATGCAAAGTCGTCAGAAATCCTATACTAATGTTAGAAGAAGAGCTTAGAATTTTAGGTTCATGATTGTGTCTACTTGAAGGTTTCACCTATGAAGGGTGTCATGAGATTTGGTAAGAAGGAAAAACTCAGTCCCCGATAAATTGATCCTTATAGGATATTCAAGAGAGTTAGCAATGTAGCTTATGAGTTGGCACTACCTTCAGAATTAGCAGTAGTTCACCCGGTGTTCCATGTATCCATGTTAAAGAAGTGTTTGGGTGATCCTTCATTTATTGTAGCTACTGAAAATATTGGTATTAAGGACAACTTACCTTATGAGGAGATGCCTGTTCAGATTCTTGATCGTCAGGTTCGCTGGTTTAGAACCAAAGAAGTTGCATTAGTCAAAGTCTTATGGAGGAATCAATTTTTGAGTAAGCTACTTGGGAGGCTGAGTAGGATATGAAAAATAGATACCCTCATCTCTTTCCTTCCAAATCAATTCCAAACCAAGGTACTTACTCTTGTAAAGTACTCTTTAAGTTGATATGTTGAGTTTATGTTAATTGCATGATGTGTGCTTAAGATTGGGTTTTTAGACATTTCCTACCCTTGATTTTCTTAGTGTGATCTCATTCGAGGACGAATGTTCCCAAGGGGGGATATTGTAACACCTCGGACTTTGAAAGAGCTAAATAGAGGTTCGTACAAGTCACCCATCAGTTTTTAGTTTTGGGTCAACTTCAAACAACCATAACTTTTAGTACCTGAAGACTTAGGTTGCCTATGACATATCAAATTTTATGACTTTGAGTCCTATTTCCAACGCCACCAAGTTTACTTAATTTCGAGCTCGAAGTAAAAAGCTATGCCCGTTTGAGTGAAGCCTCTCTATTTAAGGCATTTCATTCATGTTAATAAGGGTGTTTTGTCTTTTCCTTTTCCAACTAAGCCTAAAACATTTTTTCACCCCAAATAAGGGTCTTATTTGATTTAGACAACTTTTTCACTTTCCTAAACACTTAGAGAATTAAAGCAAGGTTTCAAGAGGAGAAAAAAGGCAGGGTTTCAAGTGTTCTTTCAAGAACAGATGATTTCGCCAAGAACATTGTTCTTTCTAGGTATGTAAGACTTCTCATAATGATGGACTTGTTCATCCTCACGCCACACATCTAATTTATCCATAAAATCATTGTATTCGAATAATTATTGAATTTTCTTCAATTCTTAAACCATGGAGGTTGCGAATTCTTGTGTGTGGTGAATCTTTAATAGAAGATGTGTTTCCCAAAGGGTTTGTGTTGAATTCCTTAGGTATTTGTGCTTGTTTTGAGAATCAAAGAGAGTTTAGGAGGAAATACTCAATTTTGAACGAATTGGGACCCTAAATTGAGTATAAAAAAATTTGTCAGAAATTTAGGCAGGGATGCAGGGCGGACCACCGTAGCGCCAGAACTCCTGGTAAGTAATTTGGGGCCTAGCGCTCCGTGCCAGTAGTGCGCCCCAAACCACTTCCAGTAGTTTGGGGCTTGGCACCCCGCGCCAGTAGTGCTCCAGGGTCGCCTAGCCTTTTTCCTTCCGTGCTTCATTCAAAACGTATTCCTTTGAGTTGTGACTACATTCTCTCCTTTGTATTAGCTTCTATAAATTCTATTCAACTTTGAGAATTCCTTCATTTTCAAATCACATGGCTTCATTTACATTTCATATTAAAGTGAGTTTAAGAGGAAAGTTTAAGAGGTTTTTTGAGTTATTTTTAAGGATTCTTTTGTAATCATCTACGTTTTGAGAAAGTAAATATGATAAATGAGAAGAGTTGTTTTCATGTTTGAGAAATGATATAAAGGAACTAAGTATTACCGAAAGTAACATGTTTACATTTAAAAGAGAGAAACTTTAATTTCTAAATGGGTTTATGAGTTTAGAGACATTTTAGAGTATTACATCTTTTAAAGAGGATCTTTTGAGTAATCGCCTCAAATTGAGAAACATATTATTTTAACATTGAGCATGAGTACGTATATATATATTTATATATATATATATATATATATATATTGAGCACCGTTATGAGGATGAGTTCAGACAACTCACATTCCTCATAAACCATGTAGCCAACATGGGTAATGAATTGTACTTTTTAGACGACTCCTTATTGCTTTTAAAGCATAGCTTAGTCGATCCACTTAGTTGAGGTTTTCTATACCTCGGAAAGGTATAGAACAGTTTTGACAGTGTGGGTGAGATGATGTATCATCACGTAGCTCATAGTTATGATTGTCGGTTAGAGAATATCCCAAATAAGAGTAAAGAGTGTCTTTTTGTATGTTATACATCATTGAGTTTATATCTCCTGATTTATAATGTTTTCAGCATTGCATCTATTATTGTTGCTTTTGTATTGGAGTTGAGTTGAGGTAAGTTTGTCTTCCAGCCTTATCATTTTAGTTTTCTATGCTTTCAGTTTCCCCATTACATGCTCGTACATTTAATGTACTGACGTCATTCGACCTGTACCTTTTTATGATGCAGATACAGGTGTTCAGGGTCATCGACATGTGCTTTGTTGATACCATTTACACTCCAGTTCATTTTGGTGAGCCTTTTTGCTCTTCAGAGGGATTCACAGTTATTTCCTATTTTATTAAGCTGTGTCGGGGGTCCTATACCGACATCTATCTTAGTATTTAGAGGCTTCATAGATAGTTAGACATTGATGAGTCTCCTTATTTTCCCCTTCTTGTTGAGATATTTTGAGACAGTTGATGTTAACTTCATATGTGTTTCTAAATATTAATTTGAGTTGTGTATTTTTATACTTTATTATGCGATTGCAGTTCCCATTTTGATTAAGTCTTCCGCTAAATAGTTAGCCAGACCAAGAGTTTGCTTGGGGACCATCGATGGTTCTCGAGTGCCTGCCACATCCAGGGTGTAGGCTCGGGGCGTGAAATTTCTCTATTGTTGATCTATAGGATGAGCCTCAAAGAGGCTAATACCACATATCAAAGAAAACTCCCGATTCTATTTTTCAATGTCAAATTTCAAATAGTTTACTCTTGAAATTTGCTGGAAATTAGTCACTAAGAGGCATTGAATTTGGTCCTACTTTTTCCTTTGACAAATGAACCTCAAGAGATTAATACCACACAAAAATGTAAGAAATCAAAAATTTGTTTAGTGACTACATAGTACTCAGCTACCCCTAAATCTGACGAAAAATTGTAATCATAAAGAAGCAAATAAAACAAAGTAAATTAACTAACTCATTGCCTATACTTTAGTGTATTACAATCATGCACCAAAAACCCTCACCGGGTGGCATAGCATATAGACTTTATAATCACTTGAGGCAATACAGTAAGGTAAGAAAACATCCCATATTTCATTAGGCTTCAAAGAGATGATTAAGAAGAATGACATCTGCCCAAATCAGTTGTCAATAAGAAACAACCTTAAGTGAGGCATATTCATTTCATCCATATTGATCAATTTCTTTGCTCTCATTGGAAGATCCTGAAAGTTTTCTACCATATAAGTATCTGCAAAATTAACAATCATGTTAGCAAATAAAAATCAGCCACTTTGTTGCCTTCCCTTAGAGTGTGTTTCAACTGAATAGGGACACCTTCCCTCATTATCTTTATAGTTTCCACCTCCATAGCAACACTCCAAGGTACCTCCCATCTTTCCTCCAATATATTTATCATAGTGAGTGAATTTGTCTCCACTATAAGAGGCAAAAGGTTTATGTCAAGTTTGAGTTGTATGCCTTCCTTTATTGCTAATGCTTCTGCAAAAAGATTAGTAGAAACTGGAAGTCTTTTCCCTTTCACCACTACATATCTCCAAAACAATTTCTTACACAAAAGGCAGTAAACACTAAGGCCAGGATTACCCTTTGAAGCACCATTAGTATTGCATTTATACTATCCATCAGGAGGATGTATCCATCTCAATATCTTGTGTCTACACCTTGGTTCCCAACTTTCCAAAAACTCTACAATTGAGGGTCAATTCTTTGGCAAGTTTAGGAAAAAAGGAAATTTGACACCAATGAACTTATAAATATTCTCATTTATGCTTATCGTGACCAACGACACTAACCTACGGTATGAGTGTCTGCGATCGTCGATAGTATAGTAACCCAACTAAAGGTTGGGGTCGTTTCCCAAGGGAGTGATTTTGAGAATTGATAGAAAAATAAAATCAAGCTATAACTAGTCGTAGCTAAAGACATTAACAAACAAAAACATGGTAAATAAAGGGAGTGACACGAACGTGTCAAATATCGATTGTTCTTGGGGTATGATTGCAATACAAGTTGAGATAAATAGTTGGGTACATGCTTTTGATAAGAAATTTGTAAGATAATAGTGACTAGGCTAAGCTTTAAATGGAAATAAGTTCCCTCTCGGGCAACTTACCCCGTTTCAAATGCGTTCCTCTCGGACACCAATTTGCCGAATGAAGACCAGCCTATGCCTTACCCCACTCACTCTCTCGAGCTGAGTGTTAGGATATGAGACTAGGGCTCACCCTTCCGGGCTGAACCTCATGTCGACCCACTCCTTAGGCCATCAATCTAGTGGTCTTGGTTTCGCGATCTCTCTCTTCGGCAAGCCGAAAACACATGAGTGGCTTTGTATTTGCAACTACAAACCCTTTAGATTAAACCACAACCACTAGGTGAAATCACTATTAAACTTCATCTAACCTATTAGCAAGCAGGACTCAACAATAATATCAACACATATTTGCTAAATCACACCCCAAGAATGGAGGTTTTTAGTCACACATCAAGAAATAACAAAATACACCTAAAATGATAGTAAAATCAAATGGGTATAAGAAATCAAGCCTTAATTTAAGCAAAGGAAGAAGAATAGAGAAGATCCACTTCCAACTTGGGGAAGATGAACTCCTATCTTCAAGTTCCCAAAATCCCTCTCCAAACTTGAGAAAAAAATCTAAAAAGTACTATTCTATTATGGAAATTAAAATAAAAGTTTGACTCCTAAAAATAATAATAAGTTCAGTATTTCTAGATTTCAGAAAATAACGCTGGCGGATCTTTTGGCGAAGTTAGTCGATGTCGCCGAATGACTTCGGCGACTCGCCCTTCGTTTGTCTCATTGCTGTTTCGTGCTTGCCTTCAACACCTTCACGGTCTGGACCATTGGGCGGTATAGTACTGCTTCGCGAAACTATTCAGCGAAGCGCCGACTGCTCCTTTCATCGCCTTTTTTATCCTTCTCCTTCAGGGCTTCGCGTACTGGAACAAAGGGCAGAGTAAATCCTTCGGTGAATCGCCAAGTGTGCTTGGCAATGCTCGGGCTTCAGCTTCGTCGTTCTTTTCAGCCTTCTTGTTCCTTTTTGCGCCTAAGAGTCCATTCTTTCACTAAAACTTCAAATACCTGAAACTTAAGAGTTTCATCAGATATATAGACAAAATAAGCATTCGAGGACACTATTCTTATCAAAATAAATCCCTAAATGAGTCCAATTTTTGGACTCATTAGATAACCTTCTCAACTAGATTAAAACCTCCATATAAAATGATATTTCTACTTTTCCATAAAGTCCATAGAATAATTATAGGGACTGCCTTCATAATAGTCTTAAACTTCTCATTGCCAGAAGCATTTCTCCACTTCTGTACAATGTTTAATTTTAATCCAAGGACCAGTTAGACCAACAAAATTTGCAAAATGATTACAAACCTATCTTGCTATTTCCCCTGTTAAGAAAAGGTGTTGTATAGTTTCAGGGGAAGGCACTATACAACACAAGCAATATGTGCTTACATTGTTGTCCCATTTATCAGTTAAAGTAGCCAGGGGAATTTTATTACACCATATTATTCAAACTACGAAACAAAACTTAAAAGGCAATCCTTGCACCCAATATACTTGTATATTGGGGATGTTCTTCTTGCTTCTCTCTTAACCATTCCCAGGAAGTTTTAGCCTTAAATGTTTCTGTGCTATTGAGTAACCAACATGGTTTGTCAGATACGGACCGAGGGATAAAATTTCTCAAATGTTCTTGGACATGGACAATTATTTTTTCTAGCAGTGCTTGTTGGAGTTTTCCTGAATCCCATCCTTCATCATTCATCATCTCCCTTATATCCTTCATTTTAGGTCTAATGATGCAATCTTTTTCCAGAAATAAAGGACCAAACTTAATCAATTTTCATACCAAATATTTGTAGACTCTCCTCTAGGTTCCCACCACAAATTGTTCTATAGTTTTCACTATTTTCTAGCATCATTTTCCACACATGAGAACGACCTTTCCATTGCACCAAAGTTGGAATTTCTTTTTCACAATATTTGTTCCACATAAAGTTTGCCCATAAAAACTACCAATTCTAAATTTCCACCATAGCTTTCAAACATAGCTTTAAAAACATCAAATAATGATCTAAAACCAAGACCCCCTTCTACTCTGGCTAAGAAAATATTCTGCCAAGAATCCCAATTCTTACTTCTTCCTATCTCTTTATTGTTCCAAAAAAGCTTCGCAAAAATGTTGTGTAATTTTTTTGATTACACATTTAGGGGGAGCAATTGCTGAAAGAATGTGGATAGGTATACTTTGTATCACACTACTGATTAAAGTGGACTTACCACCAAAAGAGAGCATGTTCCCTTTTCATGTTTAAAGCTCATCCTTCACCTTCTCAATTAGATCATTATCATCACTCATTCTCTTTTTAGCATGAGTGATAGGACACCCTAGATAAGTAATTGGGAATTGACCTCTTGAGATACATGTACATCAATCAACCAAACCTCTTAGTAGAACACTGGTGTTTTGATGCATGTACCAAGCACTCTTCCCTTTGTTAATTAATTGTCCTGATTGAGACTCATATCTGCCTAGCACCTTCACTATTCTTTTAAGGGAATTTTCATCTGTAGTTGCAAAAATAATTGTGTCATCTTCATAAGCAAAATTGTTAAGATTTGCACTCCATTTAGGCATACCATATCCCACATATTGGTCATCATAAAATAAAGAATTCGAACCCCTTGAAAGAACTTCAGCACTAAATAAATAAAGCAAGAGATAAAGGGTCTCCCTGTTTTACCCCTGTAGTAGAGTGAAAAAATCCTTGTGCTTGGCCATTCACCAACACAAAATACCAATTATTAGCTATGATCCTCCAAATGATATCATCAAACACCTCTGAAAAAATTATTTTCCTTAGGACTTTCATCAAATAGAACCATGAGACCCTGTCATATGCCTTTTCCATATCAACCTTGATAATTATATTGGTTGGTTTTACTCTTTTAGTGATATCCGAATGTCACGACCTAAGGGTAGCCCCTAGATGCAACATGGAGTATAGAATCCCGAAGGACTCCATACAAGCCACTTAGCATATCATAACATAAAGTAGTAGAACAATAAAGCGTAAAACAACATTTAAGTCCAAAACACTTTTATAGAAAAATAGAAGTCTAACTCATGTCTCAACATAGCCATCTATTACAATCGAATAAAAGTGGACCTAGCCCATACATCATGTTCAAAAAGGAAATACGAAAGTGAAACTACAATAAGAAAAGTCCTTCCTCGAACCATGAGGACTCACCAAGCTCAGAAAGAAATCAAAGAATGAAACCTTGCATGTCGGACACTACATTTGGAAAAAATGTAGGCAAGAGTATGCGTTAGTACAAAAATGCACTAAGCATGATTACTATGCATAAAAACATTTAAAACTTGCTAAGAAGGACATTTTGTTTCATGACATGAAATTGACCAATTAAAACATGATATAAGAGGGTTAGAAAACATAAGTCATAAAATCATGGCCAATGCAAGCTAAATC